TCCCATTTGATCATGCTCCATTATGTACTGTTAATTACTGAGAATTTTTGCATTTATGTTAATCAGGCCTATTGGTCTATAGTTTTATTTTCTTTTAGTGTCTTTACCTGACTCTGGTATCAAAGTAATGTGGCCTCATAAAATGATTGTGAGAGTGTTTCTCCTTTTTAATATTTTGGGAGAGTTTTAAAAAAATTGGTGATAGTTTTATTTTTTTTTAAATGTTTGGGAAAATTCACCAACAAAGCCATCTGTTCCTGGTATTTTGTTTATTGAGATATTTTTGACTACAGATTCAATATGTTTTCTGGTAATTAGCCTGTTCAAATTTCCTATTTATTCCTGTTTCAATCTTGGCATATTGTAAGAATTTATCCCATTCTTCTAGGTTTTCCATTTAGTTGATATATGGTTGTTTACAGTAGTCCTTTTCAATTGCAATATTTCCTCTTTCAATTGTAAGAAGTTTTGTTTGTCTGAGTCTTCTGTCTTTTTTCCTTCATTGGTGTAGCAGTTTTTCCTATTTGGTTCATCTTTTCAAAGAATCTACTAGTTTTGTTAATCTTTTCTATTGTTTGCTTGTTCTTTATTTTATTTATGTTTGCTCTAATTTTCATTTTCTTTTCTTTTTTTATTTCAATTTGAGCTTAGTTTGTGGCTTTTTATATTCTCATGGCATGTAAGGGTAGGTTGTATATTTCAGATTTTTCTATTTTATTAATGTGTGCATTAATATCTATACAGTTCCCTCTTACACTACTTATTTTACATCCCATAAATTTTGCTGTGTGGTGTTTCCATTTTTGTTTGTATTAAGATATGTTTTATTTTTGTATTTTATTTTTTAATATAATTTATTGTCAAATTGTTTTCCATACAACACCCAGTGCTCATCCCAACAGGTGTTCTCCTCAATGCCCGTTACCCACTTTCCCCTCTCCCCCACCCCCATCAAAACTCAGGTTGTTCTCAGTATTTAAGAATCTCTTATGGTTTGCCTCCCTACCTCCCTCCCTATAACTTTTTTTTCCCTTTGCCCTCCCTCATGGTCTTCTGTTAAGTTTCTCAAGACCCAGCAATAGCACTGCTAGGAATTTACTCAAGGGATACAGGAGTGTTGATGCTTAGGGGCACATGCACCCCAATGTTTATAACAGCACTTTCAATAATAGCCAAATTATAGAAAGAGCCTAAATGTCCATCAACTGACGAATGGATAAAGAAGATGTGGTTTATATATACAATGGAATACCACATAGCAATGAGAAAGAATGAAATATGGCCTTTTGCAGCAATGTGGATGGAACTGGAGAGTGTTATGCTAAGTGAAATAAGTCATACAGAGAAAGACAGATACCAAATATTTTCACTCTTATGTGGATCCTGAGAAACTTAACAGAAGACCATGGGGAAGGGGAAGGAAAAAAAAATGGTTAGAGAGGGATGGAGGCAAACCATAAGAGACACTTAAAAACTGAGAACAAACTGAGGGTTGACGGGGGGGGGGTGTGGGGGGGTGGGAAGGAAGGGGAGGGTGGGTGATGGGTATTGAGGAGGGCACCTGTTGGGATGAGCACTGGGTGTTGTATGGAAACCAATTTGACAATAAATTTCATTAAAAAATAAAAAATAGGGGCGCCTGGGTGGCTCAGTCGGTTAAGCGGCGGACTTCGGCTCAGGTCATGATCTCGCAGTCCGTGAGTTCGAGCCCCGCGTCGGGCTCTGTGCTGACAGCTCAGAGCCTGGAGCCTGTTTCAGATTCTGTGTCTCCCTCTCTCTGACCCTCCCCCGTTCATGCTCTGTCTCTCTCTGTCTCAAAAATAAATAAATGTTAAAAAAATTTTTTTAAATAAAAAATAAAAAGTTATATATATATATATATATATACATAGTCAAAATATATAAATATATATTACATGATCAATTATATGTTTATTTGTTTATTTATATTTGTATGGAATAGGTACATGTCAAAATAAATAAACATAAACACACACTTATTCAAGTTGTTGGAGATACAGAAATGATCAATTCTAAATTTTTAAATATATGAATAGATGTTAAACCATGTGAAGTAATGCATCTTGCATCATAAGATGGTAATAGTCACAGCTATTTCTTACATTGATCCTTCATAATAATTAACATTGATATGAACTCTTTTAGCTAAAAGTATATGTGTGTATCTGTAACTGGTAATGTTCTAAGTAGTTTTATTATTTCCCCTCAATCCTCACCACACCTGAGCTCCAAAATTAAGCTTATCCTTTGTTTTATATAGAGTGGACACAGAAATGGTGAGTAAAGGGGGGGTAGTTGGGTCTATGGTTGCTGAGATTCTAAGTATCTCATCTAAAGGCTCATAGGTCTCTAAAGGGTCATTCATGTGTGAGAAACCTGACCTTTCCCTGGTGTGTGCATTGCTCACTGTACACAACCACAAAAACCTCACAGGGAAGCCTGCTCCTATAGGTACAAGGGTCTCTAATGTTTGGTATGGTTTTTCTCCAATTATGTTTAATTTGCTTCTACATCTTCCTTACATTGAATATACTTCCAAGAATTTTTAATATTATTGTTGGTACTCAAAGCATTGATGTTAAATAAATTTAGACTTGTATAACAAAAATTCTAGAAATATAATTTTTATTTATATTTTCAATGATTCAGTGATTTGCCATATATGCTTAAGTTAGCCTCTCTGTAAATATATGTTAATGTATGATATTATCTATCATGATGAAATGCGATGATGTGAACTGTGGCAATTTCAATATTAGTTAGCAACCATTCTGACCCACATTTGTAAATTTTTAGTTTTGTGATAAGTTCATTAAATCATAAGTGATTAATAATCCCCTATATATAGGCCCATGGGACTTCTTTTTAGCACATGTTGATGTACACAAACATTAACACAAAAACTCCCAGTAAGCATTTCTTTTTTTTTTCCTTTTTTTCAGTAAGCATTTCTTAAATCATTTCTGGTTATTGCATTTTATAAATGACCCATTGCCTCCAAAGCTTTCCTTGCTGAATTTGAGGTCTCAATGAACTTGCGTCTAGGTGAAACCTCATGGACAACAAAACTCGGGTGGTCAATGAAACGGCACATTCTGATTTCATCCTGGTGGGAATTTTCAGTCAGTCAAAACACTCAACTCTCCTCTGTGTGGTCATTTTTGTGTTTTTCTTGTTGGTATTGTCTGGAAACTCTATCTTGATATTTCTGATATACTGTGATGCTTATCTGCACACCCCTATGTACTTTTTCATCAGCCAGTTGTCTCTCATGGATGTAATGTACATTTACATCACTGTGCCCGAGATGCTTATGGACCGGGTTATGGGTGTGAATAAGATCTCAACCCTCGACTGTGGGATACAAATGTTTCTCTATGTGATACTAGGAGGTTCAGAATGTTTCCTTCTAGCCACCATGGCCTATGACTGCTATGTTGCCTCTGCCAGCCTCTTTATTATCCTGTCATCATGAACCATAGGGTTTGTCTCCTACTGGTATTTGGCTGCTGGTTTCTGGCATCTGTGGATGGATTCATGCTCACATCTGTCACCATGGCATTCCCTTTCTGCAGATCTCGGGAGATCCATCATTTCTTCTGTGAAGTCCCTGACATAGTAAAGCTTTCCTGCTCACTTCCCTCCATGAGACACTCATGTACCTGTGTTGTGTCCTCATGCTCCTTTTCCCAGTGAGAGTCATTTCAAACTCCTATTTTTTCATCCTCCTCACCATCTACAGGATGAACTCAGCAAAGAGCCAGAAGAAGTCCTTTGCCACTTTTTCCTCCCATATGACTGTTGTTATCCTCTTTTGTGGGGCTGGAGTCTACAACTCCATGCTTCCCAGCTTTCACTACATCCCTGAAAAGGACATAATGGTATCTGTTTTTTATACCATCCTCCTTCCACTGCTAAACCCTTTAATCTATAGTCTGAGGAATAAAGATGTCACAAGGACTTTAAAGAAAATGTTGAATGTGGGAATTGTCTTTCAATAAATTAGAAAATACAAAATTTAGATGTTAATGTGTTTTTCTTCATTCTATACATCAGAAATTTAGAAATTTATGCCAGTGATATTTCTTAGCCCCTAATACCATGGCATCTTACATAATATTCACAAACTACTTTATGAATTGCTTCAATATTACAAGTGTCTTTGGTTATAAACTCCTCCACTAAAGGGTAGTGTAGTGTTGTAATATTTTGATGTAACACTGACTAAAGTTTATAGCTACACTCTTAGTGTATAGAAGAATATCCCCATTCTTATGAAATACGTAATGAAATATTTAGAGGATAAAGGACATGTGGAGATAAGAAATTTTCTCAAACATAAATGAGGAAAAAAAGGATATAGAGAGAGAAGGAGGGAGGGAGTAAAAAAGGGAGAGAAAGAGAGAAAAATTTAGACTGACAGAGAAGCGATGAAGCAGAGCAGGTAGAATGTTAGTAATAGATGATTCTAGGTAAAGAGTATATGAGTGTTCTTTGAACACTCTGAACACTTTGAACACTCATTATGATGAATAATATCACTCTTATTCATGATATTTTTCAACAAAATTGAAATTAGCTCTAAATAAATATTTAATATAGTCTCTCTCTCTCTCTCTCTCTCTCTCTCTCTCACACACACACACACACACACACACACACACACACATTTCTTCAGTTTTTATTTTCTGTCTGGTGGCAGTGTGACACAAAATAGTATGAAAATGTGATTTTTAAAGTGGCTTATTACTGAGACAATACAGTTAGCTTCCCACATTTATTGGACACTACATTGATCTACATGGTCCAACCTTAGAGGTATTTAGAGAGGATTAATAATTCTGCTATGTGGTATTTTTAAGATTCAGAATGCATATGGGATGGTGGAAAATATTAACTCATATGGAAGGAAGACTTGTGGAAGGTTCATGCACAGGTGATTTCTAATCTGAGGTGTTTTTCTTTGTTAAATTTTAGTAAGTTAACATACAGTGCAATATTGGTTTCAGAAGTAAAAATCAGTGATTCATCACTTACATATAACACCCAGTGCACATCACAACAAAGGCCATACTTAATACTCATCACCTAGCTCCCACCCCCTCCCTCTATAAACTATAAGTTTGTTCTCTACTGTTTTTAATATAATTTATTGTCAAATTAGCTAATGTACAGTATGTAAAGTGTGCTCTTGGCTTTTGGGGTAGATTCAGGTGGTTCATCACTTATATACACCACTCAGTGTTCATCCCAACAAGTGCCCTCCTCAAAACCCATCACCCATTTTCCACAGCTTCCCATGCTCCCCTCATCAACCATCAGTTTGTTCTCTGTATTTAAGAGTCTACATGGTTTGCCTCCTTCCCTCCTTCCCATGTTTGTAACTATGTTTTCCCTTTCCCTACCCCCATGGTCTTCTGTTAAGTTTTCAAGATCCACATATGACTTAAAACATATTATATTTGTCTTTCTCTGACTGACTTATTTCACTGAGAATAATACCTTCATTTCCATCCATGTTGCTGCAAATAACACTTCATTCTTTCTGATTGCCAAATAGTATTCCATTGTATGTATACAACACATCTTCTTTATCCATTCATCAGTTGATGGACATTTAGGCTCTTTCCATTATTTGGCTATTATTGAAAGCACTGCTATAAACATTGGGGTACATGTACCCTTATACATCAGCACTCCTGTATCCTTTGGATAAATTCCTAGTGGTGCTATTGTTGGGTCATAAGGTAGTTCTATTTTTAATTTTTATAGGAACCTCCACACTGTTTTTCAGAATGGCTACAACAGTTTGCATTCCCATGAACAATGCAAGAGGGTTACCATTTTTCCACATCCTTGTCAGCATCAGATGTTTCCTGAGTTGTTCATTTTACCCACTCTGATTGGTGTGAGGTGGTATCTCAGTGTGGTTTTGATTTGTATTTCCCTGATGATGAGTGAAGTTGAGCATCTTTTCATGGGTCTGTTGGTCATATTGATGTCTTCTTTGGAAAAGTGTCTATTCATGTCTTCTGTCCATTTATTAACTGGATTATTTGTTTTCCAAGTGTGGAGTTTGGTGAGTTCTTTGTAGATTTCAGATACTTGCCCTTTATCCGATATGTCATTTGCCAATATCTTTCCCCATCTGTCGGTTGCCTTTTAGTTTTGTTGACTGTTTCCTTTGCAGTGCAGAAGCTTTTTATCTTGATGAGGTCCCAATAGTTCACTTTTGCTCTTAATTACCTTGCCTTTAGAGATGTGTCAAGTAAGAAATTGCTACGGCTGAGGTCAAAGAGGTTTTACTGCTTTCTCCTCTAGGGTTTTAATGATTTCCTGTCTCACATTCAGGTACTTCATCCATTTTGAGTTTATTTTTTGTGTATGGTGTAAGAAAGTGACCTACTTTCATTCTTCTGCATGTTGATGCCCATTTCTCTAAGCACCATTTGCAAAAAAGGCTCTTTTTTTCAATTGGATACTCCTTCCTTCTTTGTCAAAGATTAATTGCCCATATATTTGTGGGTTCTCTATTCTATTCCATTGGTTTCCGTGTTTGTTTTAGGGCCAATACCATATTGTCTTGATGATTACAGATTTGTAATAGAGGCTAAAGTTTGGGATTGTGATGCCTGCTGCTTTGGTTTTCTTTTCCAATATTACTTTAGCTATTTGAGGTCTTTTGTTTTTCCATAAAAATTTTAGAATTGTTTTTTCTGGCTTTGAGAAGAATTCCAGTGCAACTTTGATTGGGATTGCATTGAATGTGTAGATTGCTTTGGTTAGTATTGACACTTTAACGCTATTTATTCTTCCACTCCATGAGCGTGGAATGTATTCCCATTTCCTTGTGTCTTCTTGAATTTCCTTCATAAGCTTTCTATAGTTTTCAGCATACAGATCTTTTACATCTTTGGTTAGGTTTATTCCTAGGTTTTTTTTTTGCTTCTTGGTGCAATTGGAAATGAGGTCAATTTCTTTATTTCTCTTCATTATTGGAGTAATGAAGTGCAACCAATTTCTATACCTTGATTTTGCATCCTGTGACTTTGCTGAATTCATGTGTCAGTTCTAGCAACTTTGTGGTGGAGTCTTTTAGGTTTCCATGGAAAGGATCATGTTATCTGTGAAAAGTGAAAGTTTGGCTTCTTCTTTACCAATTTGGATGCTTTTTTTCTTTTTTTTTCATGTTGTTGTCTGCTGAGACTAGGACTTCCAACACTATGTGAAACAACAGTGGTGACAGTGGACATCCCTGTCAAATTCCTGATCTTGGTGGAAAGCTCACAGTTTTTCCCTACTGATGAGGATATTAGCTGTGGGCTTTTCATGTCTGACTTCTATGATGTTTAAGTATGTTCTTTCTACCCCGACTTTCTTTAGGGATTTTATTGAAAACAGATACTGTATTTTGTCAAATGTTTTTTTTATTTTTCTGCATCTATTGACAGGATCATATGGTTCTTAACCTCTTGTCTATTAATGTGCTATATCACATTGTTTGATTTGTGAATATTAAACTAGGCCTGCAGCCCAGGAATGAATCACACTTGATCATGGTGAATAATACTATTTATATGCTGCTGAGTTAGATTTGCTAATATGTTGTTGAGAATTTTTACATCCATGTTCATCAGGAATATTGGCCAGTAATTCTCCTTTTTTTGTGGAGTCTCTGTCTAGCTTGGGGATCAAGGTAATGCTGAATTCATAGAATGAGTTCAGAAATTTTCCTTCCATTTCTATTTTTTGTATCAGCTTGAGAAGGATAGGTATTAACTCTGCTTTAAATGTCTGGTAGCATTCTCTTGGGAAGCCATCTGGTCCAGGACTCTTATTTGTTGGGAGATTTTAATAAGTGGTTCAATTTCTTCACTAATTATGTGTGTGTTCAAATATTCTATTTCTTCCTGCTTGAGTATTGGTAGTGTGTGAGTGTCTAGGGATTTGTCCATTTCTTCCAGGTAGTACAGTTGGCTGGGATATAATTTTCCACAGTATTCCCTGATAATTGCTTGTATTTCTGATGGATTGGTTGTGATAAATCCATTTTCACTCATGATTTCATGTTTTGGGTCCTCTCTCTTTTCTTACTGAGAGGTCTGGCTTGGGGTTTATCAATTTTGCTTATTTTTTCAAAAAAACATATCCTACTTTCATTGATCTTTCTACTGTTTTTTTTTTTTATTCTATATTGTTTATTTCTGCTCTGATCTTTATTATTTCTTTTCTGCTGCTGGCCTCGGGGTTTTTTTGTTGTTCTGCTTCTAGTTCTTTTAGGTGTGTGATTCGATTTTGTATGTGGGATTTTTCTTGTTTCTTGAGATAGGCCTGGACTGCAATGTGTTTTCCTCTTAGGACTGCCTTTGCTGCATCCCAAAGGATTTGGACTGTTGTATTTTCATTTTCTTTTTTTTTCCATATATTTTTAAATTTCCTCTTTAATTGCCTGGTTGACCCATTCATTCTTTAGTAGGATGATCTTTAACCTCCATGCATTTAGATGTTTTCCAGACTTTTTCCTGTGGTTGATTTCAAGTTTCATAGCATTATAATTTGAAACTGTGCATATTATTATCTCAATTATTTTATATTTATTAAGGCCTTTTTCGTGACCCACTATGTGATCTATCTTGGAGAATGTTCCATGTGCACTTGAGAAGAATGTGTATTCTGCTGCTTTAGGTATGTGTTTTGATTGAAACATTTAGTCCTTTTACATTCAGTGTTATTATTGAAAGATATGGATTTAGAGTCATTGTGTTATCTGTAGGTTTCATGCTTATAGTGAAGTCTCTGATCCTTTGTGGTCTTTGCAACATTCTACTCACAGAGTCCCCCTTAGGATCTCTTGTAGGGCTGGTTTAGTGGTGATAAACTCCTTAAGTTTTTGCTTTTCTGGAAAAACCTTTATTTTTCCTTCTATTCTGCATGACAGGCTTGTTGGTTAAAGGATTTTTGGTTGCATATTTTTCTATTCAGCACAATGAAAATTTATTGCCACTCTTATCTGGCCTGCCAGGTTTCAGTAGATAGGTCTGCTACTACCCTCATGTGTCTACCTTTGTTGGTAAAGGGCCTTTTGTCCTTAGCTGCTTTCCGGATTCTCTCTTATCTTTGTATCTTGCCAGTGTCTCTATATTTCATGCAGAAGATCAATCCAAGTTACTTCTGAAGGCAGTTCTCTGTTCCTCTTGTATTTAAATGTCTGTTTCCTTCCCTAGAGTGGGGAAATTCTCAGCTATGATTTTTTTCAAGTATACCTTCCACCCCTTTCTCTCTTCTTCTTCTGGAATTCCTATGATAAGGACATTATTACATTTCACTGAATCACTTAGTTATCTAATTCTCCCCTCTTGATCCAGAATTTTTTCTCTTTTTGTCAGATTCATCTTTTTTCATAATTTTATCTTTTACTTCACTTATTCTCCCCTCTGCCTCTTCAATCCTTGCTGTCACCTCCTCTGGTTTATTTTCCCATAATTTACAACAGTTTTTAATTCATCATGACTATTATTTTTTAGTTCTTTAATCTCTGAATCAATACATTGTCTGCTGTCTTTTATGCTTTTTTCAAGCCCAGCGGTTACTCACATGACTCTTATTCTAAATTCTTGTTCAGTTATATTGTTTATATCTGTTTGGACCAATTGTTTAGCTGTCATTTCTTCCTGGAATTTCTCTTGAGGAGAAATCTTCTGATTCATCTTTTTGGCTAGTTTTCAGTCCCTTATGTGTTTTAAAAGCTTGTTATGTGCCCTGCATATGGAAACACTATTATATTAAAGAGGGGTCATTCACTGTCCAGGATCTGACCTTACAGGAGATGTTTTTTGGCATGTGTTACTTGCTTTTTGTTCTTGTGATTCTGATTGCTTTATCTGCCTACTTGTAGTGATATGTTGGACCCTCCACCAGGTCTGCTTTGAGTTATTCTTTGAAGTAGTCCTGGGAAAGAAAACGAAAAAAACAAACAAACAAATAAAACAAAACAAAACCACAAGCTACAGCAAAACAATGGGATGGGGGCATTGTTGATGGAAGAGGACTTATCCCATACAAAGAGAGAAATGACAGAGGTGGAGAAA